AATTTGAATCTAGATAAGTCATTTTTTCTTAAAATAAGTGCATTTGTTCTTGAAGTGAGGAGGTAAAAGAGACATTTTGCCAATGGAACAAGACAATTTACACTTAAAATAAGAAAAAAACAATTGCATTGTCTTATTTCAAGTGAATATTATCTAATTATCTTATTTTAAGAGTAAAATTACTCATTATATTGGCAAACAATCTCATTTACCTACTCAAATTAAGAGTAAATACACTTAATTTAGGAATTTTTTTTACTTATTTCTAGATTGTTTTTGCAGTGTATTCAAATTAATGATAAATACACTTAATTTAAGACATTTTTGCTCATTTCTAGATCGTTTTTGCAGTGCAGGCCAAATATTACACTGGAAATAAGTAAACATTTCTTAAATTAAGTGTATTTACCCTTAATTTAACTTATTTCTAGATAGTTTTTGCAGTGTTGGCACATAAAACAACATCTCAAGGTTTTAATGTGTTGCTCAATTAATCATCCACTACTAGAAAAGGGAAAGGGATTGTAAACTAGAGGTAGATCAACTAATATCTAAAATATTTGGCCAATATTTAAAAAAGCAGCTTAGAAATCTGGTTCACATTCAGAAATCTGGGCTTTTAAATTGAAATGTTAAAGTTTCTGCTTTAACAAACAAATATTTTGGCCTTTATCCAAAACTAAATGTCATCGTCAAACATAATCCTGAAATATCATCTACATTGTGAAGCATGGTGGTGGCAGCAGCATGCTATGGGGATGATGAATGATGGGACTTTGTCTCCTCTTTCACTGGTAGGACTCGCTGGGTGGGAACAGCCGAACAGTGATGATAGCGCATATTAGCCCCGCCTCCATGGCTTTTGAGGAGTCTCGTAACACCCTGGCGTACGCCGACCGCGCCAAAAGCATCCGGACACGGGTAAACTTCCACCTCGCCTCCATCACGGTTGATCTTAAGCCGAAACGCTTCGTCTGAGAAAAGTGGTTTCTGCTCTGTCTGCTTCAGGTGAAGAAGAATCTGATAAACGTGTCGTACCACATTGCTCAGTACACAAACATCATCTCTGACCTTCGCTGCGAGATCCAGCGGCTCAAAAAGAAGATCTCAGAGCAGGCGAGCCTGAAGATCAGCTCCGAGCGAGCGGACATCCGAAACATTCAGGGTGAGTTTTCTTCTCTCCATTCAAACACGGGAATCTGAACATCCATTAACGGCTCTTTTCTTTTTTGCTCCTTTATAGCGGAGGTCCAAGCCCAGTCCAGCCAGCAGAGCAGAGCAGAGATGGACGAGTTGCGGGAGCAGCTCCTGGATGCTTTCCGACAGCAGATGAAGATCAGGAAGAGCCTGATCGAGCTGGAGAACAGCAACATGGAGATCCAGATGGACACCTCCAGACATCTCGTCACCGTTGCAGAGTCAGTCACGTTTCTACACTGCAAAAACGGTCTAGAAATACGTAAAAATGCATGGGCGGTTCTAGACAGGGGCCAAGGGGGGCCAGAGCCCCAGTAGATCATGTCCTGGCCCCTGTTATGGCCCCTGTACTGAAGACATAATACTAAAATTGTTACTGATGCACTGGAAAAAAATCAAAATCTATATAAGTCATTTTTTCTTAAAATATGTGCATTTGTTCTTGGATTGAGGAGGTAAAAGAGACATCTTGCCAATGGAACAAGACAATTTACACTTAAAATAAGAAAATAACAATTGTATTGTCTTATTTCAAGTGCATGTTATCGAATCTTATTTTAAGAGTAAAAATACTCATCCCATTGGCAAACTATCTCATTTACCTACTCAAATTAAGGATGAATACACTTAATTTAAGACATTTTATCTTATTTCTGGATAATTTTTTTCAGTGTTGGATCTATTTCCTTTTTTTTTCTTTAAAAATTCTGTTTTACTAATTATTTAAAAACAATAAGGTGAAAGTTTTAGTGGTATGGAGATAGGATCACAGTTTTCATCTGCTAAACATTTTTTTCAAAACAAATTGCTAAAATTTTTACAGTTTTTTCTTGGGTTCTAATAAGGATTTCAAAGAAAATGTTATTTTTAACTTAAATTAAGTCAAAAATATGTTAAATTCCTAAATATTAAATGTTTATTGACCTAATGGAGCATAGAATTTTAATGAAACCTAACTGAATAGAAAATTCACTTCATGCAGTGAAGAAGTCATGCCCTCCTGGCCCCCTGGTACAATTGGTCTAGAACCGCCACTGTGGAAATGTCTTAAATTAAATTTATCCTTAATTTGAGCAGGTAACTAAGATGATCTGCCAATGGAACTAGTATTTTTCTCCTAAAATAAGATAATTAGACAATATGCAAAAAATGAAAATCTAAATAAATTGGTGCATTTTTTTCCTGAATTAAGTGAGACATTTTTTCAATGGAACAAGAGAATTTACATTTAAAATAAGAAAACACAATTGCATTGTCTGATTTCAAGTGCATATTATCTAATTATCATATTTTAAGAGTAAAAATCCTCATTCCATTGGAAAATCACCTTATTTACCTTCTCAGTTAAGTGTAAATACACTTAATTTAAGAAATGTTGACTTATTTCTAGTAGGGTTGTCAAAAGTATCGATACTCAAAAAAGTATTAAAAATGGTATCGAGTATCGAATATTTTCCTTAGTATCGGTATCGAGTTGAAAAGTTTAGTATAGTGACAACCCTAATTTCTAGATAGTTTTTGCAGTGCTTTGGCAAAGTGTCTCAATAGGTGCATTTGTTCTTGAATTAAGGAGGTAAAAGTGACATTTTGCTAATGGAACAAGATAAATTACACTTGAAACAAGACAACACAATTCTAAGTGCATATTATCGAATCTTATTTTAATAGTAAAACTACTCATTCCTTTGGCAAACTATCTCACACTGGAAAAAATCAAAATCTAGATAAGTAATTTTTTCTTAAAATAAGTGCATTTGTTCTTGAATTGAGGAGGTAAAAGAGACATTTTGCCAATGGAACAAGACAATTTACACTTAAAATAAGAAAACTCAATTGCATTGTTTTNAATTTGAATCTAGATAAGTCATTTTTTCTTAAAATAAGTGCATTTGTTCTTGAAGTGAGGAGGTAAAAGAGACATTTTGCCAATGGAACAAGACAATTTACACTTAAAATAAGAAAAAAACAATTGCATTGTCTTATTTCAAGTGAATATTATCTAATTATCTTATTTTAAGAGTAAAATTACTCATTATATTGGCAAACAATCTCATTTACCTACTCAAATTAAGAGTAAATACACTTAATTTAGGAATTTTTTTTACTTATTTCTAGATTGTTTTTGCAGTGTATTCAAATTAATGATAAATACACTTAATTTAAGACATTTTTGCTCATTTCTAGATCGTTTTTGCAGTGCAGGCCAAATATTACACTGGAAATAAGTAAACATTTCTTAAATTAAGTGTATTTACCCTTAATTTAACTTATTTCTAGATAGTTTTTGCAGTGTTGGCACATAAAACAACATCTCAAGGTTTTAATGTGTTGCTCAATTAATCATCCACTACTAGAAAAGGGAAAGGGATTGTAAACTAGAGGTAGATCAACTAATATCTAAAATATTTGGCCAATATTTAAAAAAGCAGCTTAGAAATCTGGTTCACATTCAGAAATCTGGGCTTTTAAATTGAAATGTTAAAGTTTCTGCTTTAACAAACAAATATTTTGGCCTTTATCCAAAACTAAATGTCATCGTCAAACATAATCCTGAAATATCATCTACATTGTGAAGCATGGTGGTGGCAGCAGCATGCTATGGGGATGATGAATGATGGGACTTTGTCTCCTCTTTCACTGGTAGGACTCGCTGGGTGGGAACAGCCGAACAGTGATGATAGCGCATATTAGCCCCGCCTCCATGGCTTTTGAGGAGTCTCGTAACACCCTGGCGTACGCCGACCGCGCCAAAAGCATCCGGACACGGGTAAACTTCCACCTCGCCTCCATCACGGTTGATCTTAAGCCGAAACGCTTCGTCTGAGAAAAGTGGTTTCTGCTCTGTCTGCTTCAGGTGAAGAAGAATCTGATAAACGTGTCGTACCACATTGCTCAGTACACAAACATCATCTCTGACCTTCGCTGCGAGATCCAGCGGCTCAAAAAGAAGATCTCAGAGCAGGCGAGCCTGAAGATCAGCTCCGAGCGAGCGGACATCCGAAACATTCAGGGTGAGTTTTCTTCTCTCCATTCAAACACGGGAATCTGAACATCCATTAACGGCTCTTTTCTTTTTTGCTCCTTTATAGCGGAGGTCCAAGCCCAGTCCAGCCAGCAGAGCAGAGCAGAGATGGACGAGTTGCGGGAGCAGCTCCTGGATGCTTTCCGACAGCAGATGAAGATCAGGAAGAGCCTGATCGAGCTGGAGAACAGCAACATGGAGATCCAGATGGACACCTCCAGACATCTCGTCACCGTTGCAGAGTCAGTCACGTTTCTACACTGCAAAAACGGTCTAGAAATACGTAAAAATGCATGGGCGGTTCTAGACAGGGGCCAAGGGGGGCCAGAGCCCCAGTAGATCATGTCCTGGCCCCTGTTATGGCCCCTGTACTGAAGACATAATACTAAAATTGTTACTGATGCACTGGAAAAAATCCAGATCTATATAAGTCATATTTTCTTAAAATATGTGCATTTGTTCTTGGATTAAAGAGATAAGAGAGACATTTTGCCAAACGAACAAGAAAATTTACACTTAAAATAAGAAAACACAATTGCATTGTCTTATTTCAAGTGCATATTATCTAATCATCTTATTTTAGGAGTAAAAATACTCATTCCAATTGCAAACTATCTCATTTACCTACTCAAATTAAGGATAAATACACTTAATTTAAGACATTTTATCTTATTTCTAGATCATTTTTTTCAGTGTTGGATCTATTTCCTTTTTTTTCTTTAAAAATTCTGTTTTACTAACTATTTAAACACAATAACATGAAAGTTTTAGTGGTATGGAGATAGGATCACAGTTTTCATCTGCTAAACATTTTTTTCAAAAGAAAGTGCTCAAATTTTCACAGCTGAATTTATCGTTTTTTCTTTAGTTCTAATTAAGATTTTATAGAAAACGTTAATTTTAGCTTAAATTAAGACAAAAATATGTTAAATTCCTAAATATCGAAGGTTTATTGACCTAATAGGGCATAGAATTTTAATGAAACCTAACTGAATAGAAAATTCACATCATGCAGTGAAGAAGTCATGCCCCTGGCCCCCTGGTACAATTAATCAACACTGCAAAAAATCAAAATCTAGATAAGTCATTTTTTTCTTAAAATAAATGCATTTGTTCTTGAATTAAGGAGGTAAAAGAGACATTTTGCCAATGGAACAAGACAATTTACACTTGAAATAAGAAAACACAATTGCATTGTTTTATTTCAAGTGCATATTATCTAATTATCTTATTTTAAGAGTAAAATTACTAATTCCATTGGAAAACTTGTTTATTCACTTCCTCAAATTAAGCGTAAATACACTTAATTTAAGAAATTTTTACTTATTTCTAGTAGGTTTTTGCAGTGCATTTACTACTACATATTATTTTTCCAGTGTAAAAAAATGCACTTATTTTAAGCAAAAAGAACTTTTTTGCAGTGTATCATCTCACACTGCAAAACGCTCCAGAAATAAGTAGAAATTTCTTAAATGAAATGTATTCATCCTTCATTTGAGTAGGTAAATGAGATAGTTTGCCAGTTTGGAATGAGTATTTTCACTCTTAGAATTAGATATTTAGATAAAATGCACTTGAAATAAGACAACACAATTTTAAGTGCATGTTATCAAATCTTATTTTAAGAGTAAAAATACTCATTCCATTGGCAAAGTATCTCATTTACCTACTCAAATTAAGGATAAACACACTTAATTTAAGAAATGTTTTACTTATTTCTAGATTGTTTTTCCAGTGTAAAAAAATGCACTTATTTTAAGCAAAAATAACTTTTTTGCAGTGTATCATCTCACACTGCAAAACGATCCAGAAATAAGTAGAAATTTCTTAAATGAAATGTATTTATCCTTAATTTGAGTAGGTAAATGAGATAGTTTGCCAGTTTGGAATTAGATATTTAGATAAAATGCACTTGTAATAAGACAATGCAATTGTGTTTTCTTATTTTAAATGTAAATTGTCTTGTTCTATTGGTAAAATGTCTCTTTTACCTCCTCAATCCAAGAACAAATGCACTTATTTTAAGAAAAAATTATTTACATGTATGTAGGTTTTGATTTTTTCCAGTGCATTTCATCATGAAGCTTAAAGTCTTTTAACACGTCACTTTTTTATCATAAAGCTTCACTTTGGATTTAAAATTTAATTGATTT